ATTTTATTCTCTTTGTAGCAATTGTGAGTGGCAGTTTGTTCTTGATTTGGCTCTCTTTAAATCTGTTATTGGTGTATAGGAATGCTTGTATTTTTGCACATTGATTTTGTATTTTGTATTTCGAGACTTTGATGAAGTTGATTATCAGTTTCAGGAGATTTTGGGCTGAGATAATGGATTCTTCTAAAATACACAATCACATTGCTTGCAAATAGAGACAATTTGACTTCCTCCTTTGCTAATTGAATACACTTTCTTTTTCTTCCTGATTGCTCTGTCTAGAACTTCCAATACTATATTGAATAGGAGTGGTGAGAGATGGCATCCTTGTCTAGTGCCAGATTTCAAAGGGAATGCTTCATTTTTGCCCATTCAGTATGATATTGGTTGTGGGTTTGTTGTAAATAGCTTTTAATATTGAGATACGTTCCGTCAATACCTAGTTTATTGAGAGTTTTTAGCATAAAGGGCTGTTGAATTTTGTCAAAGCCCTTCTCTGCATCTATTGAGATAATCATGTGGTTTTTGTCTTTGGTTCTGTTTATGTGGTAAATTATGTTTATAGGCTTGCGTATCTTGAACCAGCCTTGCATCCCTGGGATGAAGCCTACTTGATCATGGTGGATAAGCTTTTTGATGTGCTGGTGCAATTGCTTTGCCAGTATTTCATTGAAGATTTTTACATCTATGTTCATCATGGATATTGGCCTGAAGTTTTCTTTTCTTGTTCGGTCTCTGCGGGGTTTTGGTATCAGGATGATGTTGGTCTCATAAAATGATTTGGGAAGGATTCCCTTTTTTTTGGATTATTTGAAATAGTTTCAGAAGGAATGGTACCAACTCCTCTTTGTATGTCTGGTAGAATTCGGCTGTGAACCCATCTGGACCTGGGCTCTTTTTGGGTGGTAGGCTCTTAATTGCTGCCTTAACTTTAGCCCTTGTTATTGGTCTATTCAGGGTTTCAACTTCTTCCTGGTTTAGGCTTGGGAGGATGCAAGTATCCAGGAATTTATCCATTTCTTCCAGGTTTACTGGTTTATTTATGTGTATAGAGTTGTTTGTAGTAATCTGTGATGGTGGTTTGTATTTCTGTGGAAAATGTGGTGATATCCCCTTTATCATTTTTTATTGCATCTATTTGATTATTCTTGCTTTTCTTTTTTATTAATCTGACTAGTGGTCTATTTTGTTGATCTTTTCAAAAAACCAGCTCCTGGATTTATTGATTTTTTTTTGAAGGTTTTTTTTTTTTTTTTTATCTTGATCCTCTAGCTCTTTCAATTTTGATGATAGGGTGTCCATTTTAGAACTTTTCTTGCCTCTCATGTGGGCATTTATTGCTATATATTTTTCTCTAGACACCGCTTTAAATGTGTCCCAGATATTCTGGTATGTTGTGTCTTCGTTCTCGTTGGTTTCAAAGAACATCTTTATTTCTGCCATCATTTCATTGTTTATTCAGTCAACATTCAAGAGCCAGCTGTTCAGTTTCCATGAGGCTGTGCGGTTCTGAGTTAGTTTCTGAATTCTGAGTTCTAACTTGATTGCACTGTGGTCTGAGAGACTGTTTGTTATGATTTCCATTCTTTTGAATTTGCTGAGGAGTGATTTACTTCCAATTATGTGGTCAATGTTAGAGTAGGTGTGATGTGGTGCTGAGAAGAATGTATATTCTGTGGATTTGGGGTGGAGAGTTCTGTAAATGTCTATTAGGTTTGCTTGGTTCAGGTCTGAGTTCAAGTCCTGGATATCCTTGTTAATTTTCTGTCTCGTTGATCTGTCTTAATATTGACAGTGGTGTTAAATTCTCCCACAATTATTGTGTGAGAGTCTAAGTCTCTTTGTAGGTCATTAAGAACTTGCTTTATGTATCTGGGTGCTCCTGTATTGGATACATATATATTTAGGATCATTGGCTCTTCTTGTTGGATTGATCCTTTTACCATTATATGATGTCCTCCTTTGTCTCTTTTGATTTTTGTTGGTTTAAAGTCTGTTTTGTCAGAGACTAGGATTGCAACTCCTTTTTTTTTGCTCTCCATTTGCTTGGTAAATCTTCCTTCATCCCTTTATTTTGAGCCTTTGTGTATCCTTGCATGTGAGATGGGTTTCCTGGATACAGCACACTGATGGGTTTTGGCTTTTTATCCAATTTGCCAGTCTGTATCTTTTGATTGGGGCATTTAGCCCATTTATATTTAGGGTTAATATTCTTATGTGTGAATTTGATCCTGCCGTGTTGATGTTCTTTACCATTTGGTACGTTTTTGGAGTGGCTGGTACTGGTTGTTCCTATGTTTAGTGCTTCTTTCAGAAGCTCTTGTAAAGGAAGCCTGGTGGTGATGAAATCTGAGTAATTGCTTGTTCATAAAGGATTTTATTTCTCCTTCGCTTATGAAACTTAGTTTGGCTGGATATGAAATCCTAGGTTGAAAGTTCTTTTCTTTAAGGATGTTGAATATTGGCCCCCCACTCTCTTCTGGCTTGTAGGGTTTCTGCAGAGAGATCTGCTGTGAGTCTGATGAGCTTCCCTTTGTGGGTTACCCAACCTTTCTCTCTGGCTGCCCTTAGCATTTTATCCTTCATTTCAACCCTGGTGAATCTATTATGTGCCTTGGGGTTGCTCTTCTTGAGGAATATCTTGGTGGTGTTTTCTGTATTTCCTGGACTTGAATATTGGCCTGCCTTGCTAGTTTGGAGAAAGTTCTCCTGGATAATATCCTAAAGACTGTTTTCCAGCTTGGATTTATTCTCTCCATCACATTCAAGTACACCTATCAAACGTAGATTAGATCATTTCACATAATCCCATATTTCTTGGAGGCTTTGTTCATTTCTCTTTTTTTTAATCTTCCTTTCTCGTTTTATTTCATTGAGTTGATCTTTGACCTCTGATATCCTTTCTTCTGCTTGGTTGATTTGGGTATTGAAACTTGTATAAGCTTTGTGAAGTTCTTGTGTTGTAATTTTCAGCTCCATCAATTCATTTATGTTCCTCTCTAAGCTGTTTATTCTCGTTAGCATTTTGTCAAACATTTTCTCAAGGTTCTTATTTCTTTGCATTCGGTTAGAACATGTTCTTTTAGCTCAGAGAAGTTTCTTATTACTGACCTTCTGAAACCTGTTTCTGTCCATTCATCAGACTCATTCTCCATCCAGCCTTGTTCCCTTGCTGGTGAGGAGTTGTGATTCCCTGGGGGAGGAGAGGCATTCTGGTTTGGCGTGTTTTCATCCTTTTTGTGCTGGTTTCTTCCCATCTTTGTGGGTTTATTTACCTGTGGTCTTTGTAGTTGTTGACTTTCAGATGGGGTCTCTGAGTGGACGTCATGTTTGTTGATGATGAAGTTATTCCTGTTTCTTAGTTTTCCTTCTAACACTCAGGCCAGTCTGCTGTAGGACTGCTGGAGGTCCACTCCAGACCGTGCTTGCCTGGGGATCACCTGCAGTGGGTGCAGAACAGTGAGGGTTGTTGCCCAAGCTGGAGTACAGTGGCACAGTCTGGCTCACTGCAACCTCCACCACCTGGTTCAAGCGATTCTCCTGCTTCCCCAGTAGCTAGGATTTCACCATGTTAGCCAGGATAGTCTTGATCTCCTGACTTTGTGATCCGCCCACGTCGGCCTCCCAAAGTGCTAGGATTACAGGCATGAGCCACTGTACATGGCCTCATTTTAACCATTTTTAAGGATATAGTCCAGTGGCATTAAGTACATTTTCACACTGTTGTACAACCTATTACCATTACCATCCCAGAACTTTTCTTACCTTGCAAAATGAAACTTTGTACCCATTAAATAACAGCTTCCAATACTTCTCTCTCCCCCAGGCCGTGGTGAGCACTACTCTCCTTTCTGAATTAACTACTCTAGGCAGATCAGTAAGTGGCACCATATAATATTTCTCTTTTTGTGATTGTTTTGTTTCACTTAGAATAATGTGTTCAATGCTCATCCATTTTGCAGTGGATATCAGAATTTCACTCCTTTTTAAGGCTGAATAATATTCCATAGTATGGCTATACCATATTTTGTTTATCCATTCACCATCAGTCAATGGGCATTTAGGTTTTTTCCATCTTTTAGCTGTTATGAATGCTGTGAACATGGATACACATGTTTCGTTCTGTCTCTGCTTTTTTTTTTTTGAGACGGAGTTTTGCTCTTGTTACCCAGGCTGGAGTGCAATGGCGCGATCTCGGCTCACCGCAACCTCCGCCTCCTGGGTTCAGGCAATTCTCCTGCCTCAGCCTCCTGAGCAGCTGGGACTACAGGCACGCGCCACCATGCCCAGCTAATTTTTTGTATTTTTAGTAGAGACGGGGTTTCACCATGTTGACCAGGATGGTCTCGATCTCTTGACCTCGTGATCCACCCACCTCGGCCTCCCAAAGTGCTGGGATTACAGGCTTGAGCCACTGCGCCCGGCCTGTCTCTGCTTTTTAAAAATAAAAATACAGATGGTCTCCAACTTTATGACAGTATAAAAGTGATACACATTCAGTAGAAACTATACTTCAAATTTTGATTTTTTCCCAGGCTAGCGATATGTGGTATGATACTGTTTCATATCATAGGTCCTTGGACCTAACCAGGACACCAGGTTCAGCTCACTTGACACTGAGCAGTGGCAAGTGAGCTGGAGCTCCCAATCATCATGCCATCAGGAGGGTAAACAACCAACCAATACTCCACCATGATGATACCAAAAGTGCTGAAGCTTCTATGATGTATTAAATGCATTTGCAACTTACAATGGGTTTATCAGGATGGAACCCCATGGTAGGTAAGGGAGCATCTGTAGTTACGATGTTTTTGAAGGGAGACTTTGAAGTAAGTTTGTTAAAAATAAAATTTTTTGAAAATACATACCTTTTACATCAGCTGAAGGACTAACAACTCAGTTTAATTGAAAGCCACCCAACAAAGAACCCAAAAGAGCAATGGTACTATTTGCTTAAAAAAAAAACACACACACACACACACATACACACACAAAAGACATAAAAGTATCCACTGTAAATTTATTATGCATTAGGAAGCTTAACCTAAAAACCAATAGCATCATAAAAAGATGTTATCTCTGTTCATAATAGGTTTCAAAATATATTTTCTTTTAAATGTATTCAGTCAGTACAATCCTTTATAAAAGTTGTATATATATTTTTTCTGTCAATACCTTCATTACATTTATAAATACAAGATTTACACAGCACCCCATCAAAAAAAATTAAAACCCTTTACAAATATCTACATATATTTCATACCTATAAAACTTTCAAAGGAGTGCTGTTAAAGGTGGGCCCTAGTTAATGGTCCATTTACTGGTGCAGCAGAATACATATAAATCTGTAAAGTTTTCTTTATCCATAAAACATCTCAAAAATTAGCAAGACACTTATCGTGAAACTCAGCTTCATAAAACCATATTTTAGAAAGGAACTTAATGTGCGTATTCCCATGCGATTCAAAAGTCAGACAAATGGATTGAAATAAAGATGAATTGAAAACAAATACACACTACAGAGCAGTTAAGGCAGGAGTGTGATGGATGAGAAAAACTTTGGGAAGCAGGACTGGAAGACATGGGAAGAAGTAATAATGACTTATAATAATGCCCTAGTCTGAACCTGGATATAAACTTCACTTGTATCCAGTTACTCTCATCTTCATTTAGGAATTTCCAAATTGTTAAAAACTTTCTTAGAAGCAGCCTACAATTCCTATGTTGCCACCAGAATGCTTGAGTTTTTTTTTTTTTTTTTTCTCTGTAAAATCACCTTGGACCTAACCAGGACACCAGGTTCAGGAATCTTGAGTTGTGAGTTTTACATGATTTAAGTGTGTAACAAAAATTTCTTTCATCTAGTAAAGGTATTATTATTCAATATTATTCATGTCCAGAAGTATATATATATACTGAGTTTCATTCTAGACAAGAATAGGAAGTAGAATAAAAGGAGACTAGGTTTTTATTTGAACTTTGAACAAAGACAATAGATCCCTGATACTGAGTGACTCTTCAGATTGGCCACTCGTCAATACATATGGGCTTGATTCAGAGAAACAGATGATAGGTAGAAATTAAGAAGGAATTCTTTACCTGAAATCTTGCCAGAGATGGCAGACTCATTATAGTTCTGCACCTTCGGCTGAAAAGGGCATAGAAAGATTGCTGTCACTCTTACTCCACAGTCATTACAGGAAAGCCAGCCTTTCTACCAGAGAGATGACTTTTTCTATTTGAGGTTGCACATTATTTGCAGGGAAGTATTTCAAATCTTACCTTATTCTAATGTACAGACGGGGCGGGGGGGCGGTGCGGAAAAAGAATGTAAGAGGGAAAAACAAAGCAAAACAAACTGGAGGAAGAAGAGCAGAACATGGACATGGTATTTATCAAACTTGGCCCTGAAGGATGCCACTGGCATCTCCCATCCAGCACCATGAAGTCACCAGGTGGTGTGGCTCCCTCCATGGTTCTCAGAGATGGCATATGCAGAATCCCACTTTCTGCCGAGTTTATAGCTCGGTGCACTGATTCCCAGGCTCCTCAAATGAAGAGAGTTCCCAGATGCTGCTGTCTTGCAGCAGTGGCTCAATGTCCTCATCACTGACCCGTTCTGGGGTGTTGGTCAGGCTGCCGCCGTTACTGTGTTTTTGAACTCCACTGGCTTTACTGTATTCAGGAATGAATAAGGCAACCAGAAAAGACATAAGAACGATACATGCCCCAAATAAAAACGGCGGGCCTGGGATGACAGCTCCCTGATGGATGTGGAAAACAGGTGGAGACAAAGAATAGAGTTAGTCCTTTTAACTCAAATTTTTCCTAGATTACCCAAAAAACACACCACCAAAAAGTGAATCATATTCTCATAAGCAAATGTATCATTAAATGTCAAGGCAAATTCTAATAGAGCTTGGTGTTTGGAATATTAGAGGGCAACTAATTACAGCTCTTTGTACCACTTCTAAATAGCTTAAGGAAACCTGTAAGCTTGTAAGCAACATCTGTTTACCTATAATCCCATCCTATGACTTCAGATTATGCACCTTTGTATATAAACACTAATTCCAGCTTTGTATAGAGATCTATACTAAATACAGCTTAGAAGGAACAAGGAAGAAATTTCAAATAAATAGTACAGAAAGTACTCTAGCTCGATTTTTAGCTGGATTTTTAGGTCATTTCAAATTTTAATTAGCCTGGGCTTAGTCACAGAATAGCACAGTGGTTGTTTAGGTGAAAACAGGATCTGAACAAAATTAAGACATATCTTGTACATAAGATATTAAATCACTACAATGATCCCCCCGATTCCGAGAGGCAATGAACATAATACTTATTGCTGTCAAATAAAATACAGTAATATACAGGTAAGAATCCCCTCCCAATTTAAGGTCAAGATTTTGCTATAATCATACACAACTGTTGTTACAAAAATAGACTTATGACCAAATTACCTGCAGTGGAACATTGTTAGAATTCAATTTCGGGCCCAACTCAGTCAGTTCCACATGGAACATGTAGAATATGAAGCCATACAGTGCTGGCCCCAGGCCATTGCATAGTCCTCTTATTCCAGTTATGATCCCCTGGGCAACTCCTAAATTGGAACAAAGAGAAGAAAGCCAGTTTTCTCAGAAAGGCATCTCAAGATTTGGAGCTGAACAGCACTTTCTCACATTAATTCAGCAAGACTGAGGAGAAAGCATGCTAATGAAAGTAGATTAGGAAGACTTCATCTATTATTTTCATTCATTGTACAAATGTTTTCTTGGTTTTACCATGTCCATTTAATGTTGTCCTCTTTGTGCTGAGATCTATAAGGACAGGAAATGACAGTGATGTTTCCCAAATTTTGGGGGGAGTTAAATTCTCCATTTCAGCTAGATCTGTCTAAAAAGTGGGAAAAAAATAAAATCCAAAACTTTAGTATTGTCCCATTTGAGGCAATTTCCACTTTTCTGTCAACTGAGATTTCCCTGCTCCAGTCATTTATTGGTGCTTTGGCAACAAAAACCTGCCCTTCACCTCTGGCAACCCTGCTCTCAGGAATACAGAGCAGTTCCGATTAGGCAGACTCCATCTTCACAGGTGTATTCCAGCCCTTTCTCCCTATGGACCTATATTGAAAACCCAGAAGTGCCAAATTCCTAAATGTCTGCTTTCTAACATAGCAAGTAAAAAATTAGCTTGAACCATATGAAATGAAGTTTCTGTAAATCAAAAATGGTAGCATATACTTCAGCCTAATACAATGTGTTCCCAAACTTTTATATGCTGACATTTAGAAACATGTATATTGACATGAAGTATAAAAACAGTCAAAATCTATTCCCCAAATGACAGGACAGTGTCTGTCAGATCCCAAGGTAGTTACAGCCCTCCACGGATGGCTCACATCTTCACCTCAGAGGCAGCACCTCCCTGAGGATACAAGACAACTGAGCTCCTGTAGCCAGGAGTTACATACAGAATTTGTGGTATTCAAGGGACAATATTTAACAATGAATATGAGTAAGATACCTAACTTCTGATATGGAAAAAAAAAAAAAAAGTGCAATGAATAAACCATGCTTTCCAATATAGTTTTTTACTAAAACTTTTAAAAGGGCTCTTAGGGCCAGGCACATTGGCTGACGCCTATAATCCCAGCACTTTGGGAGGCTCAGGTGGGCAGATCACAAGGTCAAGAGATTGAGACTATCCTGGCCAACATGGTGAAACCCCACCTCTACTAAAGATACAAAAGTTAGCTGGGCATGGTGGTGCGTGCCTGTAGTCCCAGCTACTCGGGAGGCTGAGGCAGGGGAATGGCTTGAACCCGGGAGGCGGAAGTTGCAGTGAGCCAAGATCGTGCCACTGCACTCCAGCCTGGAGGCAGAGCGAGACTCCGTATCAAAAAAAAAAAGGGGGCTCTTAGGCATTAACAAACTTTTCTCCATCTAAAACTGCTACTTCTTCCTGAATACAATGAGGTGAGCCATTAGGAGACAGAGAAGGAAAGGGATTAAACTAGCCATGGGAACTGCTAGAAAGGAAAGCAGGCCAGGCACAGGGGCTCATGCCTATAATCCCAGCACTTTGAAAGGCCAAGGCAGGCAGATTGTTTGAGCCAAGGAGTTCGAGACCAGCCTGGGCAACATGGTGAAACCTTGTCTCTACTAAAAATACAAAAAATTACCTGGGCATGGTGGTACACGCCTCTAGTCCCAGATACTTGGGAGGATCACTTGAGCCCAGGAGGCTGAGGCTGCAGTGAGCCAAGATCACACCACTGCACTCCAGCCTGCATGACAGAGTGAGGCCCTGTGGTGGGGGATGAAGCGAGGCAGGGAGGAAGAGAGGACAGGACAGGAAGGGAAGCAAAGGAACGGGAAGGATGGGATAAGGATCTAGATGGTGGAATGCTATTTTCCACATGGCAGTCTTAATTTTAATTTCATCTTTCAACATCTAATTATCAACAACCACACAGATTTTTACTTTCTGCTCTCAAAGAACTATTTTTTAAATTAAACTCACAGACTTTTGGCTATTCCAAATAAAATAAATTTTAGTGAATAAAGTAATTAAATCAGTAACTTGTGATTAACTGGTATTTCATTATTTAATAGACATCTGTTAAAATGTGATTATAGCCTGGTTAATTGTGACACTAAAGGACAAAAGAGGTATCAACAGTGAAAAGGGAAAATATATTTCTAATTGTTAGTAATCTGAACTGCTAAGTGCAGCTTTAAAAAATATGAGTGTAAGATCAAAGAGAGGAAAATAGAATGTTCCTATCTGACAAAGTAAGTATAATCATTGAGAAGGGACCACATGGCTGTCAGCGCCTGCTGTCAGTGGGGAGAACTCAGGGCTTCTCCTGCTTCTAGCAAGGAGATCTCAGCTGAAGGAGAAAAACAGAGGGGGCAGTGATATTACCTTGCTGATCTGACTCTGCATTCCGAGAGACGAGGGCACTGATTGCCGGAAACGTGATGCTAGACATGGCAGCCACAGTCCCTGCTGCCCACATCATCCTGCAAAGACAGGACAAGCATGGTCAGGCAGCAGATCAGCCTCAAGGAGGTCACTATTCAGAATGCAATCAGTGGCAAAAGTACAAATGCCTTTTGTTTTCTCCTGTTATGTTTTACTATTTCCATCTTTTTAAAAAAATGCATTTTTTTTTTAACCTAAAAGGTTACACATCACATTGTAGAAAATTAATAACTTAACGGCCTGGGATGGGGACAGAAGGGCCAGGAAAACTCTGTTTCTTCATTTTACTTATTTCTTTTCTTCTCCCTGGTCTCCCTATTACCATCTTTAGACATAAGCTCAGTGAAGTTCGCAGGATTTGTTTCTATAAATACCACATTTTCTCCACTGACTTTTCATTTTTCCTTTAAAAGGCTCACTTCCACACTGCCCTCGAGCTACACAGTTTGCAACCCCTCAACAGAACATGGTGTGCTCCCAACTGGAAAAACAGACCCTGCCTCCCTCTTTAGACCTTTGTCCTTCCCTCAATGAAAGAGGCTTAACTATATCAGTATGAAGTGTGGTAAATTAAGGCCCCAACTTTGGGATGGTCATTACTGAAAGAAAAAAAAAAACCTTACATGATGATAAAGTCTTAACACTGCATGAATGTGACTAAATCAGTTACTGAACCAAAGTTCACAAAAGCAAAATCAAAAAGAACAAGGAGAATCAATAAGTTAATCTGGTAAAGAGTCACAGATGGCTAGGGGTGGTGGCTCATGACTGTAATCGCAGCACTTTGGGAGGCCAAGGCAGGAGGACTGCTTGAGCCCAGGAGCTCAAGATCAGCATGGGCCACATAATGAGACTTTGTCTCTAAAAACAAAAACAAAAAGCCTTTGGAGTGGTGGTACATGTACATAGTCCCAGCTACTCAGGAGGCTGAGGTAGGAGGATTGCTTGAGCCTGGAAGCTCAAGGCAAGCAGTAAGCCATAATTGTGCCACTGCACTCTGGCCTAAGCAACAGAGCCAGACCGTCTCTCTCAAAAGAGAGAGAGTGCGAGTGCAGTGGATCAAATGAAATTCTGAAATTCAGAATGGGCACATGTACTTGCTCCCCAAACTAAACACTGATCACTAAGGCAATTCTAGTTTCTCTAACTTATGTTGTCTGTTTATGTGTCCAAAGTGAGGACCAGCTCTACTGTCTAAAATGGAGATGACATTTCTGCATCTTCCCACCGGGCACATGGAGAAACCTGCCATATTAACAAAACAACTCATGATTCCTTCTATTTTTTCTTATTCCACTGAGCTTACTTTGACCTTCCTTCCCATTTATAGGAATCAATGTGGTAGCAGTAATTAATAACTGTGGCAGAATGTACATAGTTTTGGAAGAAATCTTAGTGTTCATCTAACTCAAATGACTTATAAAGATTATGTTATTGCCCCAAGGTCACTCAGTTAATGATAGCTAATGATAATTAATGATAGTGAAGCTTGCCATAATCAGTCATTTTTCTTGATCTTCTTGTTTTGCTTTTGACTGTATTCAATGTCTCTAAAAATTGGCATATGTGTTTAAAAAGTAGGCATAAAACTTTATTTGGTGGCTGGGGCAAAGAACAATCCCATGAAAGTCCAATGACATAAAGGCAGTCTTCATAAATAATTCTGTTACCTAGCTCCACATTTCCCCAAATTAAAGCCTAATGGTTTCTGCAACATTGAATACAACAAACCAGTAAAATAACCCTTTCTTCCTTCTCATCACACCCAACCAGCCCAAGCTCCTCTAAGAGGTGTCTGTCTTAGAGTTCATGAGAATCTAAGAGTGAGGCTTACCAGGCCTGTGATCCAAAACCGTACCAGGCTAACTGGAGCATCTGGAAGCCTAAGCCAAGGAGGACAGTATTCTTATTTCCTAATGATCTCATCAAGATGCTAAGAAAGACTGTCTGCAAAGTAAAGGAGACAACTCTGAAAAACCATATCAACACACAGAATCAAAATACAAGCTCTGTGTGTGAAGACCCTTCCCTGATGACCAGGGACCTCCTAAGGGTACACTGCCTGATCTGTGACCTCAGAGTTTGGACTGTACTGATGAATCTCTACAGGGGTGGAGTGTTGGAGGCTCCCAGCCTGACGTGGGGCTCATGCTTTCTGCCTCCTTCCTGAGAAGCCTGTCTACCTGGTGTTCTGCTGGCACTTCCCAAAAGGTTATTACAACTGTTCACCAGTTACCATGATTCAGAGGGACAGCCTCAGCCTCTTTGGAGAAATACTAATCACTTGTATATTGTGAAGAGCAAACTCCTGCTGAACATTTAAAGAATATGAGAGAATTCTGCTGTAAGTTTTACAAAGTTGGGATTGAAATAAGTTTGATTTTAACAAATATATACTCTGCTAAATATAACTAGTTGGGATAGTCTGAAAAGGAGCTGGATAAAAGATGACTGGGCTGGCTGGGTATAGTGGCTCACACCTGTAATCTCAGCACTTCGGGAGGCCAAGGTGGGCAGATCATGAGGTCAGGAGTTCGAGACCAGCCTGGCTAGCATGGTGAAACCCTGTCTCTACTAAAAATATAAAAATTAGCCAGGCATGGTGGCGCACACTTGTAGTCCCAGCTACTCAGGAGGCTGAGGCAGTAGAATCACTTGAACCCAGGAAGCAGAGGTTGCAGCGCACCAAGATTATACCACTGCACTCCAGCATGGGTGACAGAGCAAGACTCCGTCTCAAAAAGAAAAAAAAAAAAAAAAAACAAAAAAAATGACTGGGCTAACTAGAGTTAATGTTTGATTTTGTAAAAAACCAAAATCATGATCAACTTGAAAGGTTAACATAATTTACATATGCAACACATTTCAACAAAAACAAAAATATAAACGGCCTTTCCTTGATGCATTCCCATAAGCCTTGTCAAATCTAGTATTTGCATAAAGCAGTTTTGCAGCCTTCTCATTTCTCCTTGAGAGAGGGTTACCACAGAATGCTTTGCTTCACTGGTAGCCATTTCAGGGAAACAGCCCCTAAGCAGTACCATACAAAATAGTGAATATGTCTGGGCACAGTAAATTAATTTAAGGACAATATGCTTCACCTTTACTGGTACTGTTTATAATAGATGGGGAAATAGTTAATGCGCTCTCTCTCCCTCGTGTGTGTGTCTGTGTGTGTATGTGTTCTCTCTCTCAGACAGAGTCTCGCTCTGTCACCTGGGCTGGAGTGCAGTGACACGGTTTTGGCTACCTGCAACCTCCACTTCCTGGGTTCAAGTAATTCTGCCTCAGTCTCCTGAGTAGCTGGGATTACAGGTGTGTGCCACCACACCCAGCTGATTTTTGTATTTTTAGTAGAGACAGGGTTTCACCATGTTGGTCAGGCTGGAATTTCTGACCTAGGTGATCCACCTGCCTCGGCCTCCCAGAGTGCTGGGATTACAGGCATAAGCCACTGCACCCAGCCCTCACTGAATATATTTTAATGTTCTGATTCATATTTCTTCAGTCCTAGGGACAATAGGAGTTGAAGCAGTTACCGGTTTTCATTTCTGCTTTTCATTTCTACTTCCTTTTCAACATTGAAATAACACTGAAACATTTTCCTAGCTGATTGTGCAATCCACAGATAGATTATAATTATTCACTATTTTGGTTGGTCTAAAAGCAAATAAAAGAATTTGCCCAGCAGAGAGTACAACAAATATTCTAAAAAGCAGAGAAAGTTGTATTAAATTTCCCCTAAATCATCTTCTCTGAGAAAACACTAAATGGCAGATAATGCCAGTGCGGTGTTGGGGGAGGGTGCCAGAGGCCCCCAGGGCTCTGGGATGGGGAACCGCTGTGACTTCCAAGGAGCCTTAGGCAGTAGCATCAGGGGCCGGGATCCCCAGGGCTCAGGGAGGCAAGGCTGAAGACAAGGACTGGATGCCAGTCACCAAGCTGGGCCACCTGGTCTAGAACATAATTTTTAAAAATTGTTTGAAATATAATACAAAAAATTTCTCCTAAATTATAACCTCAACACATTATATAAGAAGAAATGGTTCTGTGGACGGACTACATCCACATCGGATTCTCAAATTGATATTACACTATAGCTGTACAAGACGTTACCATAGCAGGGGTGAGGGACTGAGGTAGCAGTTCAGGGAATATCACCCTGTACTTTTATATGTGGCTTCCTGTGAAACTATGGTTATCAGGATTTTCTAAATTTTTTAGTATGGATAAAATGATACTCACCTGAGCCACAATAGACAGAATTCCTACCATAGCTATGAATGCTGCAATTTTAACAGATCCAAAACCTATGACCTATGGAAATGGAATGAAAATAGTTTAGTAATATAGGTATTATAAAATAATAAGGAATATTATGTTCTATTACAATGATAGGATAGTTGAGGAAAATTCATAAAACCAGTGGCAAATTAAGAAAGACAGTGCTGAAAGCTGAACCCGTGTAACCAGTAATTTATATCTAAAACTGACATAAGAAATCATAAGTAGGCACAACTGAAATTGTGAAATTTTTTAGATTTTCTATTATATGTCTACCTGTTGCTTTATATGCCCTCTATCCCCCAACAAACTGATAAATAATATCAAGTAATAAAAAAAGAAAGAAAATGACTATCAATACAGCATTGCTCATTATCAAAGCCAGTGGCTCTCAACTTAGCCTACACATTAAAATCATGTGAGGAAAAGACAAGGGGTAAGGAGAGCAAGGGAAGGAGAGCAGTGAGATGCTGGAAGACCACTGGAGACCAATTAAATCAGGCTCTCCAGGGTTATGACCCAGGCACAGGTATGTTTTAAAAGCTCCCATGGTGATTCTAATAAGCACGCAAAGTAACCTGGCAATGATTTCTAAGCCTCTAACCTTACCAGTATCTCTGAAATGCCTACAGTTTTTAAGTCTCAAATATCAAGTTTTTTAAAAGTTATATTATTTTGCCCTATATTGAAATTCTATAAAATTCAGGAAAAGGACCTTAAAAATTGTGAAATTGAATTATATACATTATTCTCATTTCATAAATGAGTGTCTTGCTTCCAGGCATATAACTGGCTAATGAAAAGACCTAGGGCTAGAATCTCTGATGGCCAATCCAGTGCTGCTGACATTAACATTTTGTTACTATCTAATCAAATGCAGTTTTAAAAATTAGAACTGGAAAATGTAGATTTAGGGATTATTTCTCAGCCTTTATTTGTAAATATATATTTTTGTTAAAGACCTTTAAGATAGAATTTAAATACCATACAATTCATCCATTTTAAGTGTGTAAGTGCATCCAAAGAGTTGGGCAATCATCAACACAAAGTGATGTTCATCAGTCTTCAAAGAAACATAGCAGCCATTAGGAGTTCTACTCCACTAACCTACCCTTCCTCCAACCATTTAGTCCCTATGGACTTGCCTATTCTGGGCATTTCATATAAATGAAATCATATAATATGCAGTCTTTCATATCTGGCTTCTCTGAGCATGACTTCAAGGCTCACCCATGTTGTAGCATATCAGTACTTCATTGCTTTTCACTGCTGAATAGTTAACATTCTAATGTATATACGATATTTGTTAATCCATTCATTAGCTGATGGACATTTGGGCTGATTCTACTTTCTGGCCATTGTGAATAATAATCTGTATATAAGTTTCTGTGTACAAGTGTGTTTTCATGTCTCATGGTTATATATACCCAGAAGTAGATTTGCTGAGACATACGGTAACTCTATGTTGAACATTTTGAGGAACTGCCAGGCTCTTTTCTACAGCAGCTGCACCATTTTACATTTCCACCAGCATATATGAGGGTTCCAATTTCTCCACATCGTTGTCTTGTCTTTTTGATTATAGCTATCCTAGTACATGTGAAATGGTATCTCATTGTTGGCATGACTTGCATTTCCTTGACAGCTAATGTTATCTTTTCCTGTGCTTATTGGCCTTTTGTAGATCTTCTCTGCAAAATCCTTTGCCTATCTTGAAACTGAATTGTCTATTGTTGAGTTTTTGTAAAATGTTGTGTCTTTTATTATAAGAGTACTACATGTATTCTGGATACAAGTTATTTATCAAATCTAAGATTTTCAAATATCACATGCAAATTTAACTAAAATGTGAGTATGTTAATTGTTCTTGGCAACCAGCACCAATATAAAATAACATGGAATGATTCTGATTTGTCATAATTGATGGTGGTGGTGACATGAGTATACCTGTAGGAAAAGCTAGAATAACAGTCATAGTTGTTTATTACCTATATAAAGAGAGATCCTTTTTTTAGCTTTCTTCCTACATTATTTTTTGTGTTAAATGCATATTTAATGCAATGCACCAATTAATTGAAATGCAAGAATAATTTTCTATACTATCTCACCATTTTTCCCTCTACATCTCTAGCATCCAACTACTAAAAATGAGCAAAAGAGAAATGCCTGGAAAAGGTCAGGTGTGGTGGCTCACACCTGTAATTCCAGCACTTTGGGAAGCTGAGGCTGGCAGATCACTTGAGATCAGAAGTTCAAAACTAGGCCTGAACAACATGATGAAAGCCTGTCTCTACTAAAAATACAAAAATTAGTGAAGTATGGTGGTGCATGCCTATAATCCTAGCTACATGGGATGCTAGGGTATGAAAACTGCTTTAACCCGGGAGATGGAGGCTGCAGTGAGCCAAGATCACGCCACTGCACTCTAGCCTGGGCAACAGAGTGAGACTGTCTCAAAAAACAAACAAACAAACAAAAGCTTGGAAAAGGATTTATGTATATGCTACCAAATAAAACATTAATCCCATATGCTCAGGAAAACTTTCAGTATGAAGAATTTAACATACTTCATTTTGAAATATCACCAGAACAGGAGGAAATTATCTTAGGAGGAAGCTTGCTCTGTCAAAGTAAACTATTAGGAAAAGGCCTGCCTTCCAATGAAATCAGAAGACCACAGGATGCAATGGAAAGACAACTTAGGTCTGGGCAATCCCAAAGATCTGAAGAACAGATAAAAAGGGGAAGTTTTTTTTTTTTTTTTTTTTTTTTTAAATTGCCTTAAGTCAATTACCTGTTTTGGGGGACAAAATAGGGTATAAATTTTCAAAGTGTAAAAGACTCCAGAGAGGGAAGATTTTGATTATTGCTTGTGAGTCCCCGTGAAGTCTACAGCAGCAGTTGGGCTGTGACATACTGAAGACGCTTCAGCAAGCTGGCTTCAGTCAGACCTGGTCTAAAGGCACATGTGAAATAAGTTTTACCTCTCTGTGAAATTTAATGAATATTATTAAAGATTTAAAATATTACAGTACATGAATGTTACGGCAGCTTTATGAACAAGTGCCAAAACTTGGAAGCAAGCAAGGTGTCCCTCAGTGGGTGAATGGATAAACTGGTAAATCCAAATAAATGCCAAAAACAAAATGAGCTATCAAGCCATGAAAGACATGAAGAAACCTTAAATAAATGTATATTATTAAGTGAAAGAAACGAATCTGAAAAGGATACATATGGTATGAAAAAGACAAAACTATGGAGACAATAGAGATCAGTGGTTTCCAGCAGTTGGCAGTGGAGGGAGAGATGAACAGGCAAAACACAAGAGATTTTTGCAGTGAAAATTAACTGTGTGATACTGTAAGGGTGGATACATGTTATCCTGTCTTCATACATTTGTCCAAACCCATAGAATGTACAACACTAAGCATGAACCCTAATGTAAACCATGGACTTTATGTTAAGATAATTTGGCAATGTAGGTTCATCAGTTGTAAAAATGTACCACCCTGGTAGGAGATGCTCATACTGGAGAAGGCTATGCATGTGTGGGGGTAGGGGATATATGGGAAATTTCTGTATCTTACTCTCAATTTTGCTATGAACCTAAAACTGCTCTAGAAAAATAGTCAAACAAACAAACAAACAAACAAAAAACAGGCCAGGTGCGGTGGCTTACGCCGGTAACCCTAGCACTTTGGGAGTCCCAGGCGGGCAGATCACTTGAGGTCAGGAGTTCAAGACCAGACTGGCTGACATGGTGAAACCCCATCTCTACTAAAAATACAAAAATTAGATGGGTGTGGTGGTGCACACCTGTAATCCCAGCTACTCGTGAGGCTGAGGCAGGAGAATTGCTTGAACCCGGGAGGTGGAGGTTGCAGTGAGCTGAGATCGCGCCATTGCACTCCAGCCTGGGGGACAAGAGCGAAATTCCATCTCAAAAATAAATAAATAATGTTTATGCTAATTCTGATTCTCATTAAAAAACAAACAAACAAAAAAAAACAACCCACAATAATCATCTTACTATATTTTAAATCATCATCGCATTAAAGGTGCCCTGTTTACTAATTATATGTCAGCACCTACATTCATAACTACAAGCAAGTTCACATGTTTTTTTCTCTGAAGTGGTTTTCTCAAAATATCTTTAGACAAATCTGCATCTTTGATTTTCCTGGTATTGAAAGGTTACTAGCCACTCACTACTCACCTGCCTGAGATAGAGAAAAAAACTTGAATACTGTCCAGCTTCAGGAAGGTATGAAAGAAACACGGTGATGCATATTAGTAAGACAGTAGAATCTTTTCCAACTTTCTTCAACGACTGAGAATAAGCAGAAAGAACACACTTAAAATGCCAATATACATTAATGTTGCCAATGTTCTGGAACATTAGCTTCATTATTTTGATCTATTAAGATGAATAACAAAAGGCAAATCGTTAATAAAAGGTAAACCTTAAATGTATCACCATCTCTCTCAGGAAGTTACAAGTCTTAATTTCAGAGGCATGTATTTCAAATTGTATAACTAAAACAAAACAAAACAAAACACTCATCTTTGCTAACAAACTGATTCAAATCCCTGAACAGATCCTAAACTTCCTATAAACAGACTCTGGAAATATATTCCTACAGAGCCTTTTAAGAAAATCACTTCTCTCGATTCATAATGTAACTTCTTTAAAGCCATATTCAGTATAGAAGTTTCCTTATATGTAAATTGTCTCTATTCTTCAAAGTGTTCATGTTCATTTTACCTGTAAATCTGGCAGACAAATAAGTACGCTCCAGTCTTAGGGTCAAACTGCTAAGAACTTGTTGAATGTTACAACCTTGTTGAAAAATCCTTCTTACATATATAGGATTGTTGAATAGAACCAAAGGTATGTTGTTACCAAAGAAGTGGAAAGTGCTGCAGAGCTTCTAGGTCATCAAACCAAAGCTTTTATGTAATTAATAGCAAAAGCAGCTCATGTTTATTGAGACTTTGCTACCCAACAGGCACTAGGCTAGTTAATTTACACACATTAACAGTAATCCTCACAATGGTCCAGAAAAGTAAGCCACAGTAGCTCTACTTCACAGAGGAGCTTCCATGCATGGCTTGATCACTACAAAAGAAGGTGGGAACCCTAACCTGCTGGCTCCCAAGCCCAGTATTGGCTTCCTTCTCTAAATATTTATTTTGGTGCCTGACACTGTGACAGTGATAGAACAGGCAGAGTCCCTAGGTCATACCCTCAGGGGGTATTTTAGAAAAAATAATTTCTGATTAGTTTTCTTCTTATATGAATTTTTCTAAAAGGTAAACGTGAGTAACAAAGAGCAAAAACCAAACAAACCTCTGGTTCCTTTTTTGTCTACAAATATTTTTTTTTCAAAAAAAGAACAATTTCAAACCAGGTAAGGCAGATAGAAAGTGAGAGGTAAGATACTTTTTCCAGTTGTGTGACACATCACCTTCCCATGCCAACAAAAAAAAAAGGGGGGGGGGTGGAGGATAGGAGAAGTGAGAGAGAGGGAAAGAGGGAGGGAAGGAGGAAGGGAAGAAAAGAGAAAGCGAGGGACATATTATAGAAAACAGTATTCAGGCTGGGTGTCCACCACTTTGGAAGGGCGAGGTGGGCGGATCACTAAGTCAGGAGTTCAAGACCAGCCTGACCAATATGGTGAAACCCTGTCTCTACTAAAAATAGAAAAATTAGCTGGGCGTGGTGGTGCATGCCTGTAGTCCCAGCTACTTGGGAGGCTGAGGCAGAAGAATCACTTGAACCCGAGAGGCTGAGGCTGCAGTGAGCCAAGCTCACGCCACTGCACTCCAGTCTAGGTGACAGAGAGAGACTCTGTCTCAAAAAAAACCAAAAAACAACAAAAAAACCACAATATTCAATCTGTAACATACAAATTCAATGTCTTTGGTCAAAATTAAAATAACTCATTCAAACTAAAGGCATTTATCCTTTTTGAGTGAAAATGACCACTTTCACTTAATTTTGTTTAAAAAGGATGAAAATGGCCATGCAAAAAGAAATTTTCTTCCCAAACTTTCAAGAATTAGCTAGACATTTTCTCTCTTTCCTAATGACATGCTTAAGTACCAATTCTATATATTTCTTAATACAAACACTAAATCCCTTACTTGTAATTAATTTTTTTTTCTATTTTTACTAGATAAAGAAATGAGTCAACAACTGCTAGGACCCTTGGGGCTATATATATATATATATATATATATATATATATATATATATATATATAATTTGCTTGGCTTAAAAAGACATTTAGGAAAGTAAATATTTCAATATTTTTATTTACCGCAAAAGGATCTGCTTGTTTCCAAGAAATCTGAGCTCCCCAGGAAACTGGTCTCATTTTCTCAGGCAGAGATTCTGGAACAGCCACTAAGATGAAGCAGATGTCCAGAAGAGCCACCACTGTGGCCACCAGCACAACGAGGCTGTCTCCATAACTGGCAGAAAGATATGCTCCAATGGCTGGGCTGCTGACAAGACTAGCCGCAAAGGTGGCTGAGACCTGTGGGAAAGTACACTCTCATCCAGGGTCCCACAGGTGAACGCCCGTGGGGAAAGCATATCCTTACCCAGATCCCGCCTACTGCAGGTGCACACCTTCAGGAAAGCACATTCAACCAGGATCCCACAGGTGCATACCTGCAGCCATGCTTTCCTGGCTTTAAGTAAGACAAAAGAAATGTGCTGCATATAAATTTTAAGAATGAAAGAGAATTTTCATTTAAGAATGTGTTCTTAAATGATTTTCTTTTAAGAATGTGTTCACAAACTATTAACTAACTGAAGATACCCTGCAGAGCTACAAGAGTAAAAAATGATTATCTTATTAAAAATAAAAACTGTAAAAACCTTCCCCACAAATAAAACATCAGCTCTTTGGTCTTAACTGGGGGCTGGGGATGTAAGAAAGTATGAAAAAAATTCCTGCAGGACTGATAAAATCCACAAATTAGTCAGGGACTGTGCTTGATTTCATCTTCTAAAAATACTGCACTGTTTAAACATTTTATCATTTGGTGGTCATTTCATTAGCATTGAGAAGGGAAGAAAACCCCCCGTTATTCTTAGTGAAAAAACTCTAACAACAAAAAAGAATTTGTTGAGATGGAAGTTAAAGCTTTTTGACTAGGCAGATGTAGATTTCTGTCTCTCTTGCCACCACCTGACCCTGTCCAGATAAAGACCACAGAGTCAGCTGAGGACACCCACAACCTGAAGCCACAGTGAGCCCCTGCACATTGCACTCGTATAAGCATGTGAAATGTCCACTTTATTTTAGAACACAGCCTGAATGTTCAGATGCTTACTGGGCAAACTCCAAATTGTAATTCCACACTAAATGTCAAAAGCATATCTTTAAGTTAGCTTTTTAAACTTCTAATGGATTTTATTAGAAATCAGAAGAATTCTGGCAAGCCAATGACATTCTTTCTTTATCCATCATCTCCCAACTGAATATAAAAACACAATATATCTGAAATTAGTATTATACTAAAAGTACTACAGAAGCTAAAAATCAAACATTTTTGGAGGGATAAAAGAATGTGGAGAATTCCAACTTGGGGAACAGAAATCATTCAATATTTACTATGTACCAGATGAAGAAGACAAAGCTCTTGTTCTCAGGTCTTCCTGCTTCAACAATCCTATATATGTAAGAACATCAGGGCAACCAAATAACTGCATTATAAACTGCAACAACATGCAAACAGTTATGGGAACACTCCTACACTCTTCTCAGGTGTTAAGGAGGCACTGCTGAAGCATCCTTGGGCGCTATGGGAGCACTGCTGCAGCATCTTTCAGGTATGAAAGAGTTTATGGCCTCATGAAATTCTATGCAAAATGTGTCTATCTTAAAGCCTAAAGCAGCCTACTTGCTTAGTTTGTGTTTTTATCTAAACTCCTCTTTCACTTAACATTCAATACAACTCTGATGAATATATCTAAAGAATGACTTCACCACAACAAACTCTTAGTGTTAACTCACTTATTAATATGACTAATCATTGCTGCAGTCCTGAAATAATTACCATTTTCTTAGTTTACTGAAGACGTTTCAGTAAGGAAGGTGCACATATTTTATATTGTTCTTTAATGGATTTCGAAATGCTCCTTAGAACTTGACTGACACATCCGGTAATTAATTGGCAACAAATTCTCCTATATCTGGAAGATAAGTAGACTGCAATCCAGGCAGCCTTGCATGCCGAGTTGCTTAGTTGGCTGGGAGCACACTTCAACTGAGTGTTGTCTCAGTCTGGATATGCACGTTCACTGATTTCTCTCAATGCCCCTATGAGCAGACATGAATCCTAACTGCCATTATACAACGAGGAGCTGAGCTGGAGAGGATAATTAAGTCACAGGCACTACTGGTTAGAACTCTCTCTGAAATCTTTCCTGAAACTACTACTCCTCAGCACAACAGCTATGGGAATGGTTTTCCAGCTGAAAGTGAGGAACAAAAATCCAATAAAATTGCAGAAAAATGAATATCTCAACAGGTAGTTCCCATGCTGTAGAAGAAAGCCATCCCTCACTACTCTGTTGGCCAAGCCTTATGGGCACACCTTGAACATGAACAACCTCCCTTCTTTTTTTGTTTTTGGGGGGGCTGTCTGTTAATTTTTGGGGTTTCGGGGGAAATTTTGTTTTTCTTTTTGGTGTTCATGAGTGAGCCCCAAATCCTGCCTTCTTTGAAGACTTCCAATCAGCTTCTATCTCTGTCCTGCAACACGGCTCTAGAGATGCCCCTGTTTTAGGGCATGGCATGAAGGGGACATTCAGGAGTGGAGAGAAGAAGCAAACAGAGAGAGAAGGCAGAAGAGTCACAAGTGGGGATGAAAGAGTAGGTTTCAAACTACTGATGTCTGAAGTCAACAAAGTAAAAATTGTTGTGTTTTGTGGCACAGTAACTCATTTATATGCCCATCATTGATTCAGGAAGTTATTCATTCAGTCAGCAATGAATGAGAACTTAATCTACTCCATGAAGTAGATTTAAAAGAAAAAGACTCAGGAAAAGGAGATTAAATAACCTGAGTTTCTGGCATTCAATCTCCCTACTATTCAATCTCCCACGTAATTCCCCACAACTTAGTGAGATCATCTTTCTTCTTCCATCTTCTTATTCTGAATATTTTCAAACACAGAGCAAGATGGGAGAATACAAAGCATACTTCATGTCTCACAGGTTCAGGTATATGCCCATACATGTGCATCCATATCCACATCAACATGCTATGCTATCTTCCCTGCTGAACCATCCGAAAGTAACCTGCAGAGTCCTGACACTGATGTAAAATGCTTGGGCCATCTTCTAACAAGTCTTTCTTCTGCATAACCATAACACCATTAGCATGCCTGAGAAAATTAGAAACACTGGTGTGAAATTATCAGAAAAAAGGTCGTCTATAACTTTTGTTATTGAGCAACTATTTGATGAATGAGTGAATGTAGTCCTTTTCTACCTATCATGTTCCAAATGTACGTCCAAAACGCACAACCACCAATAGAGTCAATAGAGTAACAATGGATTAACATTGCTGAGGTTCAGCACGTCTCCAATTCAAATTAGGTGCACAAAGACTTGTGTACCTTGACTGCTTAACGTTTAACGTTCCTCAGGGGATCTGATAACAACAAACAAATTAGACTAATTTTTTTTTTTTTAAATTCAAATGTTCAACTGTAATCCCCAATGTTGAAGGTGGAGCCTTGTACAGGGTGACTGGATCATGGGGGCAGTTTCTCATGGATGGTTTAGCCCCACCTCTCTTGGTTGTAATAGTGAGTTCTTGTGAGATCTGGTCCGTTTAAGTGTATAGCACCTCCCCCTTCGCCCTCTCTTCCTCCTACTCTGATCATGTGAAGATGCCTGCTCCAGCTCTGCCTTCCATCATGAGTAAAAGCTCCCTGAGGCCTCTCCAGAAGCCGATGGCTCTATGCTTCCTGTATAGCCTGCAGAACCGTGAGACAATTCAACCTCTTTTCTTTATAAATTACCCAGTCTCAGATTATAGCAGTGCAAGAAAGGACTAATACACTCACTTTCCAGTGAATTTCTAATACATTCTTAATTACTACTCTGGGGAAAAAAAATATAGTCTATTATCTTACCCATCCATAAGCTGTACTTCGCTCGTGCTCCTGAGTGACATCAGCTACATAGGCAAATATAACAGAGAACGTGACCGAGAAGACTCCAGACACAGAAATCATTGCAAAATACCACCTATAAAAAGATTATTTTAATGACCCAAGAGAAAGGGAGTGTATGTACACTTTTATTACCTGAGCCAAAGACATCATGTAAAGATTACACACCAAGAAATAAGAATACTTGTATATATATTTATACTTAAATATACCCAAAAAAATTTAAGATAGGAAGAAGTAGAAACATACTAATTTCAACATTGTTCAAAGGGGGTCAGTACATGCAGCCTAAAAAAAAAAAAAAAAGAATCAGAAGAAAAAACAAGTAAGGGGATTAGGTAAAAGTTATATTTTTAAAAGTAGCCAACAGGAAAAAAAAAAACTTCTCAAATATCCTAGCTTTAAGTAAGAAAAAGACATACAACAAATGATTTGAAGAGATCTATATAAAAGCAGAGATCATAACAAAAAATATTAGTGTAATTAAGACCAAAAATTTCTATCATATGATAGATGCTTTTAAAAAACCTAGTTAAAAATTAACAAAGAAAATCTTATAGATCAAAAAGTGGGGTTTACTCCAGAATATATAAAAATTTTAACATTTACAAATCCATTAATATATTCATTTTAATAGCTCTAAAGAGAAGATCTAGCATATAATCTTAATGCTTTTTTAAAAATCTGTGGATACAACAGGAATATTTTTTAGTTTACAAACTAGCCTAACACCTAATGACAAAACATTACAATACACCCTTTATATACAAGAAGAAGATAAGTCCCAAATCATCCCTTAGATTTACTAATATTCATTAGTCAAAGCATAGCCGAAAAGGATAAAATTTATAGAAACAAAATTTAAGAAATGTACAAGATCCAAAGAAAAAATCTTAAAAAAAGGACATAAAAAAGTCCCAACTCATTGGAAAAGCATGCCATCTTCTTAGACATAATGACTCAATACCAAAAAAATGCATCAACTGGTAGAAAATAAAATGACTATGAGTACCCAATAAATTTAGAATGTGATGTTAACATAAAATTCCTATCAAATAATGAAATGAAAATATTTTAACATGAGCCAAAAAAGAAAATTAATAGTATTAAAAACCAAAATGAAACTTCCATACTTTCTTATGTAAGTATTTTCTTCACATAAGAAAGAACATTTCTGCAATAGGAATACACACCAAAATACAACTGTTATCCAGAAACAACTAAGTTACTGCTCACAGGCAAATTCCAACCCACCTTTGGTAACTAAATGGGCTTTGGTCACATGCTAAATACTCTCCCGATTTATACAGAAGGAAAAAAAAAATGAGTCAGGCCAGATGCCTGTAATCCCAACTTTGGGAGGCTGAGGCAGGTGGATCACCTGAAGTCAGGAGTTGAAAGTAAGCCTGACCAATATGGTGAAACCCCATCTTTACTAGAAATACAAAAATTAGCCAGGCATGGTGATGGGCACCTGTAGTCCCAGCTACTCAGGAGACTGAGGCAGAAGAATTGCTTGAAACTGGGAGGCAAAAGTTGCAATGAGCCACTGAGATGGTGCCACCACACTCCAGACTGGTCAACAGAGCATAAATTGGTAAAAAAAAAAAAAAAAAAAAAAAAGGAAAAAAAATGAACTCAAATTCAAAATCATGATTTAAAACAGGCTATCAGCCTTACTATATTTTAAAGTGACCTCCACCTATTATGATATAAACTATGTTCATGTCAGTGCCCCATAGCAATTGGCTGGCAAAAGTAATATATTTAAAAAGTCAACTAAGAGCCACAGTGATGAAGACAGGGGACTGTTAGCCCACTCTCAGGGTTAAGCTCCCATACCTGACATCATGGCAACATCAGCTGCCTGAAGAGGCATCTTTTATTTCTATTTCTTCACCTGAGTAACTTATCTCAGACATTGTCTTCCCCTCCCCATTTATAAAATGGATATAATGACAAATGTCCAAACTGGCTTTCAATGTTACAAGAGAGATCAAAGGAAAACACAATTACAACTGTTTTTGTAATAGTTAAGAAGTGCTGTGCAAATATAATTTACATGTGACTCAAAACAGGCAATCAGGATACTGAAGGGCCAAGTCACTCACCATGGGCTGATCCTCATCAGTGGGATTGGGAAGCAGGTAAAGAATACAGTGCCGAGGAGAAAGGGCTTCCTCCCCCACACATCAGACAGGGCACCTATGAGTGGGGCACTCAAAAAAGAGAGCAGGCCCTGGAGGAGAAACAGAAGCAAAGGTTAGTTTTATAATTTGATCCCTCATATTTTCTAAATGCATTAGCTCTAATTCACTGTACTGGCCCCAAAACAGAATAATGATTTGAAACATTAAATACAAGCTATTTAAAAAATTAAAATTTGGCCTGGCATGGTGGCTTACACCTGTAATCCTAGCACACTGGAAGGCCGAGGTGGGGGGATCACCTGAGGTCAGGAGTTCAAGACCAGTCTGGCCAACATGGTGAAACCCTGTCTCTACTAAAAATACAAAATTACAAAAATTTAGCTAGGTGTGGTGGCAGGTGTGTCTGTAATTCCAGCTACTTAGGAGGCTGAGGCAGAAGAATTACTTGAACCTGGGAGGCAGAGGTTGCAGTGAGCCAAGATTGTGCTATTGCACTCTAGGCTGGGCAACAAGAAGAAAGCTCCATCTAACTAAAATAAAATAAAATATAATATAAAATTCTAACCAAAAATGTAAATGTTCTATCAGAAAGGGAAGGAAGAAGTAAAAAAGCTTATTTTCCAGAAGAAATTAGAAAAGAGAGATAACTATATATATATATTCTTTACTTTTGTGTGTATATATATATATATATCCACATTTGGACCTTAAGATGAACACACACCAAGTATATGAGAAGCAGCTAGAAATTTAAGTCACTTTAATAAATACATGGCATATCAATTCTGCACAAAACTCTGCATTAACTGGTGCCATGACATTCAAATCAATGTACACCATATACTATCCCCAGGGCCTGATAGGGATAAAGAAAGTAAGTGCACATATGCTAATGCTCAAAAGAAAAGTAGATTCTTTGTCAAAGTAAAGTTCTCTCTGCTTGATGAGTTCAGGAAGAAGATAATCCAACTTGAACTAGAGTTGAAACTAAGGGGAAGAGAATCGGACATAGATTACACCATGCAGAAGCAGAGGAAGCCAAGGAACTCACATATACTGCTTGCCCACTAATTTGCCAGTCACTCTGTTGGCTGGCCACCTTCATTTCAATGGTAGAGATAAGCAGCAGGGTGGAGACAGCAGGTGGACAACAGCAGAAAAATGTTGGTGAATAATGAAATAGGTGATGAGTACACAGGTATTCATTATATTATTCTTTACTTTTGTGATCTGAATTTTCATAATATGTTTAAAAAATTGCTCAGCACATCACATAAGTAGGACACTCCAAAACCTGGCTCCTGACACATATCCTATGCTGTGGGTGCATGCAATACTACTGGACATACAATGTTCCTGTGTGCCAATGGGCCTTTGCATGCATGTCCATCCCATACTTGGAGCCTGGAAACTGCTAGTGATTCTTCCCAACCTTGGGAGAGAAGCACCTCCTCCTCTATCTAGTCTTTTAACTCTTCTGTTATGATTTCAGCACTCCATTACAAATCACTTGTTATTTGTCTGTCTTCTCTACTGGATTCAGAATTGAGATTAAGGACAGAAAGATGAGGTTTCTTATCTCTGTACCCTTGGTGCCTATCACAAGGCCTGGTAAACACTGGTTTTCAAATACATTTGGTGAACTGAATAGAACTTTTCAGAGAAAATCAACGTACAGAAGTCTCCAAGTTCACATACCTGGAAAGGAAAAGGAAGAGATTCCAATCCCCTATCAGCCACCAACTGATTAACCCAGGAGAGCAGACACAGGTAAAGTGATACAGGGAGGGACTCAAAGTGAAGTGGCTTTGTTGTCTGGGGAGATGGTGCACCCAGAAGATTAAGGACATGGACACACATGGGTGGGTGAAGGAGGAGAAAGTTTAATAGGAAAATAAAAGAGAGCCAGAGCTTCCTCGTGCAGAGAAAGCGAGGCGCCCAAACGGGTTTGATTTGGGGCGTGATGTGGTCAATTTTATAGAGGGGCTTGAGGAGGCAGTGTTTGATTTACATAGGGCCCAGGGGATTGGTTTGACCAGATGTGCATTTACACAGCCTAAGAAAAGACTGGCCCTCCCATCCTAACCTTTTATTATACAAATGTGGCCTCCAACTGGTGGGGCCATGACACCTGCACACTGGCAACAAGGAAGGGAGTGGAAAATAGCCATGTTGGATGTACCTGGCTTCCAGGTACAGCTGCCAGCATTTACCTAAGCAAGCTTCCTGTTTGCTTATTTATGCTTGTAGCTTGATTTTTCAGGTTGCTTTTTAGTAGAAAAGAAATAATTTGGGGCTGATTTTTATGAAAGGAAAATTCCACTGAGAAATCTTTTACCCTCGCTAACTCCCTAAATAATTTCTTTTTAACTCCTATATCAAAAGGAGGGCAGGGCAAGCTGAAGTGAAAAGATTTATGACTCCTCTGACATTAAAAATGTATCTACGACTCATGAAGCAAATCTTGTAAATACTGAGTAGACTTCATTTTGTCTGCTCTCGTATCAAGAGAGAAAAAGATGGAGGATTAAATGATTTTCCTTTAAGAACTAAAAAACTGCAGAAGCAGGGCTCAAATTTAGGACATGTGACAATCAGCTTCATACATACTTTAGAAAAGAGAACTTTTCATGTTGCTTCGAAATTAAGGCCAGGTATGGTGGATCACACCTGTAATGCCAGCACTTTGGGAAGCAAAGGTGGGCAAATCACTTGATGTCAGGAGTTCGAGACCAGCCTGTACAACATGGTGAAACCCTGTCTCTACCAAAAAATGCAAAAATTAGCCAGGCATGGTGGTGAGCGCTTATAGTCCCAGGTACCCAGGAGGCTGAGGCACAAGAAACGCTTGAAACCCAGAGGAGGAGATTACAGTGAGTTGAGATGTGTCACTGCACTCCAGCCCGGGCAACAGAATGAGACCCTGTCTCATAAAATAAAACAAAACAAAACAAAATAAGAAAAACCTGAGTACCTAGGAGGGATAAAATTAGTGAAGAAAATAATGTAACGAAATTAAAGCAGTCAAGGCAGTAGAAATGACAACCACTACCAAAACAGCAATAAAAATACTTTTAAGCATAAAGAACCCAGGAAAAGTTTTTGGACAGTTCTGATTTCAGATTTCATACAGTGCTTAAAATATGGAATGTACTCCCTTTTTAAATCAAGGATATGAAAAGGCCAAGTATTAAAGTTACATTTTAAATAATGCAGTTTTACAGAAAAAATATATTATCTTCTAGATTATGAATTTAAATTGTATTTCAATCCATTCTTTAAATAATATTTTAATCAAATTCTTACTGACAACCACAGGTATTAAAAATGTCTTCTGGGAGAAGCTACTGTTTTACTAAGATGCTAAGATACAATAAAATACTTGCTTCTTTGGAAAAACGTATGTTTCCTAAAAATCAAACATTTTTTTCTATCCAGTTGTTAAATATAGTAAGTTCCAAATTTCTCTTCAAAGAATCAGTATGCCAGTATGTTCAGTTTCTGTGTTCTTTGTTGTGCATTTTAAAGTTTAACTTTCTCATTCCCTTCCTCTCCTTGCCTCCAGTTTCAGCAGACCTTAACGCCAGCTCTAATCAGCAGTTCATATATGTACCCCTGGTCACCTGCTCTGTCCTGAGCCACCTCTGGTAACCTGCTCTGACCTCAATCACCTTTAGTCACTAGTTCTGTAACCATCTTTCCTGCAGAAACTGCTTACCCTGCTACTCTGGCTCGTACCCCTGCTCTCTTTAAAACAGTCAATCAGAATTAGCCTAGACTGTGTGGTCCAATCCTAGCCAATAAGGGAATGACACAACAATAGGGGTGACCTGTGACAAGGATAAAAACTCCTTCCCCTCCCCTGTTCAGGTGTGATCTCACCATTGCACCATCCACGAGATGTACCCTTCTATAGAAGTAAAGACTGCCTTGCTGAGAAAATTTATGTTTGAGTGCTATTTCTTTTGCAGCACTGAAAATTTGCTTCTAACAATTTGGTGGCTCATATGAAAACCCCATTCTCCTCCAGGGAACGGATCTCCAGTCACCTCTCATGGGGAGATGTGTCCCACTGCCTCGTGGTGGTCTCAGGGTGAGAGACTGGTGACCCACCCAGTGTGACGAATAAACCCAGACTCTGAGCAATGTGGAAAGAAACCAGCCGGCGACCTGGGGGAAAGGATCCTTGCATACCGTAGCAACTAGGTAACTGTGCACAGACCAAGGTAAGAAATGTCATAAAGGTGACAAAGTATTTCCTTGGTGGTCAGGATATTCTGGAGGTTGAATGTGCACGTGAATGATCACAAGCACTCCTGCTTGTGGTGCTGCCTGGGTGAATGGTACTAAGCACTACTGCTGCACAGAGTGAGTGGGTCCTATCTGCGGTTCTTTGGCCACTTCATACAGCTTAGGGTGGATCCTGCCATGGGGTTTATACCAGCATGCTGATGCCAAGAGGGACCTGGATCTCCTGCAGGGGAATGGCCAGAGTGGATGAAGCACAAGAAAGGTGCAAGGAGTCTCCAGCAGGTGGAGGCTAAAGGATAGGTGAGACATTTCTAATATGAGAAATTGAGTCATAGCCCTAGCAAACCTCTAGGGAAGGAAAGGCAAGACATTTCTGATTCGAGAAACTGAGTCTTATAGCCCTAGCAAGCCTCTAGAGAAGGGCAGGCAGGACATTTCTGATACGAGAGACTAAGCCTAACCAGGACCCAATATGGAAAATACTCCAAGCAAGATGGATAAAGATGGTAACAAAGATATTCCCCTTGATAACCCTCTATGTCTCAGGTTAAAAAACTGGAAGAATAATGAAAGGACCAAACATAAGAAAAAACAACAAATGATACAATATTCCTGTTTTATTTGTACTCATGGACCCATCCTCAAACCCTCAAACTTCTGGCCAAAGTTTTGTTCGAATGAAGATATGTTGTGTTGGCTTCTAATTCAAAATGTTAACGATAAAAGTCCAGTTTCTCAAGAAGAACTGGACTATGCTCTATGCTGGAGGCAGGGACCTATCCTCCTTCTTCCCTTAAAAACAATCAGGGATTGTTGTTTTTAATCCCTAGGTGGGATT